GCTCCCCGGCTCCCCCCCCCGCCGCTGCACCACGGCAGAGACCCACGCTCCGGGCCGGGGCCGTTAAAGTGCGTCGCCGTCTGACCGTGGAAGTGCTGGAATCCCAGCGGTTCCACGCAGGGAGCTGGGTTTACGGCAACCCCTGGCACGCGCCAGCTGCTGTCCCTGCATCAGAGCCAGCAGCACACGGCAGCAGCCGGCTCCCCGCTCCACTGCCTCAGCAGGTCCTTGCACACACAGCTGCTCTTCCGTCCCTAGCGAACAGCCAGGAGCCACGCGTCCAGGAAGCTGCACCCCACGAGCAAAGGCATCTCCCACTGCCAGGGCCCCACACGCAACCCGGGACAGCAACAGCAACCGCAGCCTGAAACCTCTGCCAGGCTGGGGGCTGGCACCAGCTCCACGTAGCAACGGCCCCTCCTCCGATGCCTGCTGGGATGTGCTGCCCGCGGGCGCCGCCGGGCCCCAGCTCCCCACCACCCAGGCCTCCTTCCCTCCCCGGGACTGGAGCCCACGGCCCAACCTGACGCCTGGGGCAGCCGGAGACACCTCAGGCAGCAACGGAGCATTAGAGCGGAGTGTCACAGAGCCCACCCCGGTGGTTCCTCAGCCCACACCAGCGTTGCAATAACCATTCTGAGATAAATGCTTATTGCTAATACAGTATTTTAAAAGCATTTAACTGTGCACAATTCCATGATGAATTAGGTGGTTTTGCAATATATCCATTAAACCATAAAATGATGTGAGTATCCCACACAAACCAGGACTGAAAGGAAGACGTGCTCTCCAGCGGATTTGCGAGTCCTATTTTCTGCTTTGCCACTGATCTGCTGTGTAACCATGGCCAAATCACCATATGTCTTCAAGAGATGCCACTAATTTTGGGGTTTGATTGTCAAATCTAAGGCACCAACACAGCCTCATTTTCAGAAATGTTGAGCACCCACAACTCCTACTGAAAGTTTAGCACCTACCTTCACTGTGGTTCTGATTCCCCATTTGTAAAATGGAGATGAAAATGGTTCTAAGTATCTGGAAGGTTGTGATGCTTAAGCCATTTGTGGTTTTACTGTTAACTTGTTGAATGAATGTTGTTATTGAACTAGTAAGTATTCTTGTAATTTTGTATTCCATGAAGACTATTATTAAAATATTCTAGAAAAAAGTATGCACTGATACAACGCATGGAGTGCACCTGCCATCTATTTTAGGTATTTATGTGGCTCCTATTACCACAGAATCTCAACACCTCACAATGTAGATATCCTCACCCCACCTCTGCGGGATAGGGAAGTGCTATTAGCCTCATTTTACAGCTGAAGACTGAGGCAGAGAGATGCTAAGCAATATGCCCAGTCACAAAAGGAGTTTATGGTGGAACAGTGGCTTGAACCCTGGTCTCCTGAATGTAAGTTAGTGTTTTAGGCACTGGATCATCCTTCTGCCATACATCTTGTACATCAACGAAAATGAAATATATATCATTATGGATACATTCTGTGCAGTCCTAGGGCATCTTTCTGCTCCCAATGAAGTCTGTCTCAAAAATTTTCATTGATTTCCACAGGGCAGCATCAGACCCCGAGTCCCCTGGATTTCTTCCTTAGACACAACATACACTTTCAATCTGCACCTAATCTTCAGGACCAGTGACATTTTCTGGAGCTGGCATTAGATACAGGATACAGATAGTATAAAAATAATGCTTACTTGTTCAACATTCTTGCAATGCCAAAGTCCCCAAGCTTTGCTATCATTCCATTATTGCTAAGCAAAATATTCTGTAAATAAAGAAGAAACTGGTATGCCTTGATGAAACATAGAAGAATTTCCTGTATATGCATTACTGTGATTAGGTAAAATTAAGACTGGTAACTCCAAAGTTTACTACCTGTGCTTTTATGTCTCTGTGTAAAACTTTCCTGTCATGAATATGCTTCAGTCCTAAGGAAATTTGCACAAACCAAGACAGAATCTATAATGAAAGACAAAAGGGTCAAAACTCTGTAATTCTGCACAAGCCAATGTCTTACTGAAAAACACAAAACAAAACTAAAATACAGATTGCACATACACAAAAAAGAGAGAAAAATAAACAGAGCTGTTAATACCAATCTGAGTGATTAGATTCATTTAATCCATTTTTCAATTTTAAATATTATCAGAAAATTATATGCAGATAAATACATCATCCAACAGTCCTTATTCCAACAAATATTCCAGTGACTGCAGTGGGAGTACTGCCTGAGTAAGGAATGTGGAATCAAGCCCAAGGTAGCCTTTTAATTAGGAAGGCCTGAATTAAAATCTCAGTTCAGATCAAACTGGAAGAGGAATTATGTGGTCTCATATAAACCTCGGTGATGGAAACCATTAAACCACCATACAATTTTGATGACATTTATGGTTCCTTGTCAAGAAAGGCTCGGGAACAGAAAAGTACAGATTGCTGCTTAGAAATGTGGGTAAATGGCAGAGCTGTATAAGGAAGCTTGCATAGTAACTTCTCACACTATTCCTATCTTAGGCCACAGTTGTTACATCCTGACTTTGGTCTTGATCAGAAAAACACTTAACCATGCGATTCATATTAAGTATGAACTTAAGTACTTTTCTGGATCAAAACTTTTTGGAAGCTGTTAAATGTATACTTAAGTCTATCCTTATTCAGAAAAGCACTTAAATACATGCATAACTTTACAATACATATGTACAGCCCATTGACTTCATGATTTCATTCAGTAAATCATTCTTAATCAGGAAGCACTTAAGCACCTGCTTAGCTGTGCTAAGTTGTGATTTATTGAATTGGGGCCTTTAATTAGGAATAAATACATACATAGATTTGAAAATATGTAAGGTATTATGGGAACTAAACATAACTGGGTAGCTGTGCTTCTTTAGTTTGGGGATTTTTTTGGTTTTGTCTACTTTTTTTGGTCTGTTCTTTGTTTGTCTTCTGACGACACATTTTCTGTTAGTTTGGCTGTGTATTTTCCCTCAACAGTGTTCTTGTTATTGTTGGTTTCCTATTTTTTATTTTTCTGATTTGTGATTTTGTGCTCTTACATAAACTTCATTCTCTCCCTTGTGTTTCCTCTGCTTCCGATAACTAAATGAGCCAGATAATCCTAAACCCTCAATTAACTCCCAAATGATTCACTACCAACTCCTTTCTCTACCACTTACATGGAAAAAAGAAAAGTGAAGAGATTTCTTTTTCTATATAAATGTTAAATTGAGAGTAGACAGAGAGTCACATTTTAAGGCCAGCCTTAACTGGGTTTTTTAATGGGTATGTGCAGTTTTACAATCAGTTATTTTCGCTAGCAACTTAGGTCACTAGGTATCTAAATTCTTGACAGCACCTGCAAAATGCAAATCAATGTCCAAAAAACTAACCGTGACATACAATGCATAATAGAAAAGTATGGTTCAGCTAGTTGAAGGGAGGGCAAAAAGTAGCATGAATCAGAATGAGAGGAGTAAAGAGAAGGTGAGAAACAGCTGTGATTCCATCGACTAAATATATAGACACATTTCTGAACTAATGTATACTGAAATAGGTTCAGAAGGCTAGTTTAACAATTCTGAATCCTATTTCTGATCATGGGTGAAATCCTGTTCCTACTGAAATTAGTGGGAGGTTTGATCCCATCTAGTAACATTGTAGTGCCTACAAGACACTGCCCTGACCTACATTACTCCTCACCTTCCATCTCATATGTCATTTCTAAGGAGAGATCTTTTCTCTAGGTCTTAACTGAAAAATCAGTAATTCTCACAGAAGTCATAAGGGCTTAGCTGCATGTCTCTTGTGATTAGAACAATAAAGATAAGAAATTGCCTCACATAATTGATAGTCCTCAGCATGCATATTAGGATATAAATTGTTTCCTCTAAAAATAATCCCTTTACCTGGTCCTCATCAAAGAGCACTCCATGTTGCATATTGATCCGTCTCATTAGATCACCTCCATCACAATATTCCATCATGATATATAGCATATTCTTTTCTGCAAGAAAACATAGGCTTTTTTCTAACTACGTTTCTGCTGTTTCCACTCCAGCTCATCTGGAAGCGGGTTTCACACACCCCAAGGGCTGCTCCTTGTTTTCTAAGTGACAGATGAACCCCCCCCCGTACCTGTAGCTACAGCTCATTGATCTGTATTCATCGTGTTGTTTCTGCTGTTTCCACTCCAGCTCATCTGGAAGCGGGTTTCACACACCCCAAGGGCTGCTCCTTGTTTTCTAAGTGACAGATGAACCCCCCCCCGTACCTGTAGCTACAGCTCATTGATCTGTATTCATCGTGTTCACTGACACCTTCATTTCCCTCTGGACCAAGGCCGTGGAGCACTGGAATGGCTGTAGCCTTGTGGGATTGTCTTTCCATCGCAACTTTGCACAGTCAGGCAGGGCACAGACCCTGGTATCGCCTTGCAGACTCTGTGCCCCTTTGCTTCCCTGATTGTCCTGCGGGTGAACGAGGTGTGAATGGAGGGGGCAGGAGACGAGCACCTCCCTGCACTTGCAGTGGAGAGGGGTGGAAGCCGGATCCGAGAACAATGGGCCCTGTGAAGAGGGGTCATTGAAAGACTGGACCTATGGAGCCTTGGGGGCAGGGCAGGCGCCTGCTTTCAGAAGCCTTTGAAGGTGAATGGGGCAGCATTGAGACCCCCCAGATGTGGAACCACATGCCTCTCGCAGATGGTGCCTACGCAGGGACGACTGACTAGCTCTGCAGCAGGGGGAGACACTAGCAATCCAAGGCATCTTGCAGAGGGACCCTGGGTTTGCATCTTGTCAACATGGGAGCACCCATCCCCCGGCTCCACCCCTCCCCATCTAACTCACCTGGCCAGTGCAATTAAGGGCACGGCTATTGGTCCGGAGATGCGGGTGTGTATGTGCATCGCAGTGGTGCCTGCTATACGGGTATTACCAAGGCATACGGCATTTTGTCTTTTCCTCCTGAAGAGATCCCGCGGGGGCAGCTCTTTGAAGGACCACATACCCTGAGATGGTGCCACGTATTGCAAAAGCCAGGCCAGAGGCAGGGGCTGGCCCTGTGTGAGTGGCACAGCGGGCGCGCCTCGCTTGTGGGGTGGGCTCAGGGGTAGTCACGTGGCAGTTTTAAGACAAGTTCCCAGACTCCGGAGTTGTGCGAGGATGCTGGGCACCACTGCAAGGGCACGGCTCACTGCTAACTGCCAGGCTCTTACCATGTGGTCTCCACTGCCCCCTTCCCCTCCCAGCCCGAATCCTTCTTGCAGCCACGGCCAACCAGCAGCACAAGGCTGGAGAGCAAGGGGCTGCCTTGTTAAACACCCCGCTCAGGCAGGCTTTAACTGATGGGGGTTTTCCAAACTAGCAGCGTGCACACAGCACGTGGCCAGGCGGGTTGCTCAGGGTGCAGAGCTGAGCAAGCCCTGGTGTGCCAAGGCCAGCAGTACGGACAGGGCGTCTGCAGGGGAGCCTGGACCACCCTGCCCTGGCAATAAACGGGCACCTCTGCCTTGCCACAGTGCGGACAAAGCAAACCCAGGCCCGGCTCAAGTCTGGTGCACGCAGCACGCAGGCCAGGCTGGGGAGGCGGGAATGCTGGGAACAGCAATGCAGAGTAAGCGTGGCACGGGAGAGCACGTCAGGAACACACCACAAGCAGCCTTGTACTGGGACTTTTCTGATATGCAAAATCACAGCTGCAGCCACACAATAGTCAACTACGCCCAGAGCAGCAACAGCCGGAGTGGCAGGATGTACCCACCTAGGGCACTGGGCACTTCACGCATCCCGCACAACGGGGAACAGCAATGCAGAGTAAGCGTGGCACGGGAGAGCACGTCAGGAACACACCACAAGCAGCCTTGTACTGGGACTTTTCTGATATGCAAAATCACAGCTGCAGCCACACAATAGTCAACTACGCCCAGAGCAGCAACAGCCGGAGTGGCAGGATGTACCCACCTAGGGCACTGGGCACTTCACGCATCCCGCACAACGCACACTCAATGGCTACGTCGACACTGGCAGGATTTTCCAGAAATGCTTTTAACGGAAAACTTTTCTGTTAAAAGCATTTTCGGAAAAGCGCATCTGGATTGGCAGGACGCTTTTCTGCAAAAGCACTTTTTGGGGAAAAGCGTCCGTGGCCAATCTAGACGCGCTTTTCCGCAGAAAAGCCCCGATTGCCATTTTTGTGATTGGGGCTTTTTTGTGAAAAAGAAATCTCTGCTGTCTACACGGGCCCTTTCGCGCAAAAGTCTTTCGGAAAAAGACTTTTGCCCAAATGGGAGCAGCACAGTATTTCCGCAAAAGCACTGACAATCTTACATGAGATCGGCAGTGTTCTTGTGGAAATTCAAGCGGCCAGTGTAGGCAGCTGGCAAGTTTTTCTGCAAAAG